ATTAATTAACTAAGGTTTGTAGGATAGCGCTTACGGGCCATCCGCCCATCATTATTGTATCGGCATATCAGTCACCGCTGAATCATATAATAAAAGCCGACATATCATCTCTACTAGATCTAGGCCCCAAGGTATTAATCGCGGGAGAACCAAACATTTTTTAAATCAATATGAAATATTTTTAATCTCTCCCAAGATAGAATTATAACGAAACGGAAACATTTTAAGTGACCTCACGGGGAGACTTAACTTCAACGTTATCGCTTCCGAGAGTCCAACTCGCTGTCCTTTTACCATAAATGAATCTCTGGACGTCCTCGATATAGCATTACTCAAAGACAAAAGACTTTAAATGGACTCGATAGAAACTTTTACCGAACTAGCCACGGACGAGAGGCTGGTCGTAATACAACTGGGCCAGTCGGCAGGTGAGATCCCTCAGACCAAAACCATCGTCGACTGGCGTAAACTCGAGGTCGAACTCAAGTCTACAAGCTCCCAGCATTTAGCCGCTTTACCGGACAAGATATATTTGTCAGAAAATAATTAGGGCGATTAGCGCCCTATCGACTCACCTCACTTCAGCTGTCAAAAAGTTGCTTCCGATTGCTTTCGTATGTCATGTGATCAATACACGTAGCTTTCGTCAGATGTTTGAAAACTGATTAGAGCGAAAAATACAGCGATAAGATCTTAAGACCTTTATCGCACGGAAGATAACAATATTGACCTAGGTTCTCTAGAAGACGAGGATAAACAACGATTAGCTGAATTTAGACACGATAAGTAGGACAACCTCTTAAAAGGAATTGAACCATCGCAAGACGCCTTCTGTAAGCTGACTAGAGCTTTTAAATGCTATCTCTCGTGAAGTTACCACACGTTGTCTCTGTATCATCTCGTCTTAGATGATTTCGAAAAAGCCGAATGCCTAGCCGACAGTTTAGAGAACCAATTTACCCCATCCAGCGTACCACCAGATACCCGCGCACCTACTAGAGGTAGAAACGGAAGTCAAAAAAAGGTCTGCGTTAGCACCAGCGGTTGAATCACTCGATTCAGTGACCGTAGACGAAGTCACAGAAACAATAAAAAGCCTTAAGATTAGATCAGCCCTTGAACCTTACGTCATCAACAACAAGGAAATCTTGGAGCACCGCTAGTATATGTCCTCGTAGAAATCTTTAACACACTTCTCACGAGCTGCTTCTTCTCGGATATCCGGAAAGAGGCAGACGTAATATGGTTCCCAAAACCAGGGAAACCTCGCGATGGAAACGTCAACTACAGGCCCATTAGTTTACTCAGTACGCTGGGTAAATTTTACGAGCGCATTATTCAAAAGTGCCTTCTTGATTTTATTGTTTTAATAAACTTCTAATTGACGAGCAGTTTGACTTTAGAATCGAAGACTCGTGGACTCTTAAAATTTACTGCCTAACATGCTATATCCTATCTAGCTTCAACCATAACCCGACAAAGAAAAAGTCTCGTAATACCGGAGCTCTCTTCTTCGTTGTCGCAAAGGCATTTGACAAAGTGTGGCACGACGGTTTGCTTTACAAGCAGTACAAACTAAAGGTATAGATAGGATCGTGCACATCATACAAGCCCTCCTAGCAAATCGCAGTTTTCGCTATTGAGAGAACCCGAAGCCTCCGACTTGTGTTCACTTCTTTTCACATTCTTCATGAGTGATATTTCAAAGGACCCAGTGGTGAACATCGCACTCTTCGCCGATGATACGGCACTTGGAATAATCTCATTTTGTATCTCCAAAAAGCTACGAATCGCTTTGGCGAATGGCTCTCCCTATGGAGAATCGAAGTGAACCCCTTATACTCGAACTACCTTGGTTTGATTCATCAATGAAATTAACTACGAGGGCGGCACTGAAAATTTCGGGAATCAAGGAAGTGATACAATTTTACTATTAAAAATGTATTTATTGCTTTTCGAAGTATTTTCCGCGAAATTTGACACAGTTTTCAATACGATGGAACCAATCATTGAAGCAACCATTCCATTCGGAATTTTGGGTCTCCAAAATGGACGTTTTGTAGGCGTCCACAGCTTCGTCAGGTGATGAAAATCTCTGTCCACGCAATTTATTGTTTATTTTAGGGAAAGTGTAGAAATCAATAGAGCTTAGGTCGGGGCTGTACGGCGGATGGTCTAATAATTCTATGTTTTCTTGCTCTAAAAACTCTTCTGTTCTGTGTGCGGTGTGAGAACTCGCATTGTCGTGATGGAGGATGATGCGGCGGTTGCAATTCTCTTTACGGAGTTCAGAAACGATCTGTGACAAACAAATGCTAGCATACCATTCTGCATTAACCGTTCTTTGTCCCTCAAGAGGAATAGTCGTAACATGACCGGTTTTGGAGACAAACGTGGCCACCATTTTTTTTGCAACACTCCGTGAACGAACAATTTTTGTTGGCTTTAACTCATTTTCGAACACCCAAACACGTGACTGGTTTTTTGTTTCGGGTTCGTACGCATATATCCAGGATTCGTCACCTGATACGATATTGTATACAGCATTTGAGGATCCTGCGTGGAATCTTTCGAGAGTTCTGACGCACCAAGTAACGCGAGCCGCTTTTTGTTCTTCACATAGCGAATGCGGTATCCATCGGGAAAACAACTTTTTTACACCTATTCATGCAATATTATTTCTATTTGACTCATGGCAATGTCTAAAGTTGCTTGAATTTCGCGGTATGTCACATGTCGATCTTCCTCAATCAGCTTACGCACAGCATCAACGTTTTCTTGGGTGACTGCAGTTTTTGGACGACCTTGACGGGGTTCATCACTGAGCATGACACGTCTACGTTGAAATTCAGCAAACTAGCGATAAATTGTGGTTTTGGATAGGGCTTCATCACCAAATGCAGAAATCATCCGGTCAACACACTGTTTTTGTGTTAAACCACTTCGAAAGTCATAATAAATCATCGCTCTTGAATTTTCTCGAGTCAATTCCATTTTCTCAACGACTAAACAAGTTTGACAAAACCTTGTGACAAGACCGAGAATCTTTTTTTAAATAAACAAATGGTATTCAATTTTTAAAACCAAGGAGTTTTCAATTGAAAAGATTTTAATATGACAGGAATAGTGGAAATATTCCGTTCCTGATACTTTTAGTGCAGCCTAGGTAAAATATGATTTTTTTAATATTCAGCTTATTGTTATTAGTTTACTGTGTTATATATACGTTAACATTAAAAAAATTAAATACGCTATTTATGAGGAGTGAAGCATAAAAACGTAATTCAAAATTACTTTTAAAATTAAAACAAGGTTTTTACATTATATTTTAAGTTCAGATTCTCGAAAACGAAAAATGTTAGAACAAGTGGTAAATTTAAAAATTTTGTTCAACCGACTTCAATATAAATAAAATAAGTACATCATCAATGTAGTCGAAGTCTATTAAATACGCAATACTAAGGATAACTTAAAAACTACTGGTTAGATTTTAATCAAATTAATATGGGACATAAAAAGCACCAGTATTCGAATAAAACAAAAGAATCGTCACAATCGGTACAACTATAAAAAAGTTCTGCGGCACAGAGGTTCACACAGTGTAAATTCAGTGCCTCCTCCTTTTTAAAGTCGGTTAAAATACCGACATGATCTAAAATTCGCCTTTTACGTTATCACGGCAGTTTAACATAAAACTGTAATGTAATGTATTTCATTTAATGTCTTTAATTTTTATTATTTACTACTTTTTGATTAACTTTAATATAAATTTTAAGTAAATATAAAGAATTTTTAAGCCTTTACTGTGAACGCCCGAAATGAATGTATTTTTAATTTCTGCTTACTATATATATATATATATATATATATATATATATATATATATATATATATATATATATATATATATATATATATCGGAAATGATATAAAATTTAAGTATTTAAAATTATAATTAACCCAAGGGTGAAATTACGACGTTAGAAATATTGACATTATAAGTGTTTACACACCGCTCAGAAAATCCTTATTTGTAGTTGAGTTGCTCCAAATATAGGTTTTTTGTATTCTAGATTAGTTGTTGTCACCCATTTTTTATTGATACTTTCGGAACTATACTTTCGGCGGTATTGCGTTACTTCGCTTGTCTGCATATATAATATATTACTCTGATAATAACGTATATTTGATTGACATTCCCAAGCAAATGCCTCTAAAGGAAACCAAATGACGTAATTAGGTTATTCTTTGTATTGCGTCCTCTTATGGCAAAATCAACAAGATTAAGTATAAAGAAAACCAAGCCACAAAGCAAGAGAGAATTGTTATTTAAATAAGTAACCTTTAAGATAATTACCTTCGTCAGACCTAGATATATTTTCTACAAACAGAAAGGTTCATTTAGTTCTAGGCCAACATTTGTAAAAATTGTCCTTATCTGCTCTTTTCAGATACAGTTTGAAATAATTAAGTTAACGTTATCAAGGTCTTTGTATCTTCATTACTTATTTTAAAACTACGAATATGGTTCAATGCTCACTGTATAACTAATGCAATGGCATGTGTTCTTGTTTCAGATAATAACATTTTCAGCGCATTTTGTAAATACTCTTTATGGGTTCAATAAAAAATAGTGGAAAAAATTAAAGAATTTTATGTGTGAAAAAAATCCGTCAACGGTAAGACAATTTTTTAGCGGCCATGTATTTAAAAATGCCGGCTAACTCAACTCAGTAGCTCAGTTACATAGTTCCTATCATCACTGATGCACGTTTATGTGATGTAATGTTCGATTTATTTTTGCGTATTTTTTTTTTAAATTTGTGAATAAGTATTCTATAGTAGTGGAAATAAAAGCAAAGAGTAACGCTTATAATAGTACATCAAAAATAAAGCGTCATGATGTTTACTAAAGTTTAGTTAAAAATATTTATAATAATAGTTATTGAAACTTAGTACGTTGAATTTTTTATTGACACTAGTTTTATCATATCATTACGATGTTAATTTTCGTGTTTTTATTGTCCATTCCAAGGTATTTCTTTTCGCATTTGTTTTTTTATAATTTTAATAAGAGTTTTTTATACATTATTTTATAAAAAGCCGTGGTAGTTCATGGGCTAAGCGCCATCCGTAAATTTTTCAGTAGGAGTGCGAAAAGCTTGGGTTCGATTCCCACTGGCACCAATGAAATCTAATTGCAATTTAAAGTGCTGGTTTACTTCGTGCTTAGCGGTGAAGAATAACATCGCAGGGAAACCCGCATGTCTGAGAACTCTGCATCTCAGACACAGGACTAATAGCTCCAAAATTCTCCCATCAGGGAGAGGCCTAAATGGGCCCACATAAGAGTATATTGATTGTAAATTTACTCTGCTTGTAATCAAATGAACTTTTGTAAATAAATTATACAAATCGTAAATTATACAAAAGATTGAATTTCAATAAGTATTATTTATTATCTGTATTGAATAAAAAAGGTTTCTGTTTCTGTTTTTGTTTCAATATATAAACAACATGCAATTACGATAATTTGTATAAAAATATCTTTTTTTATTTTTACTTCGTAACAATTGGGACTTTTCATAAGAAAATTCCAATGTGTATCTTATATATTCAGGTATCCTATAAAAATACACATACCTCAATTGCACATGAATAAACCTTGATCAGGGTCAATTATTTCGATTCCGTGGCCCTACATCGGCGCAGCCAAACTCTGAGGCACTGCGCTTGTGAGACGTTGCTTTTGATTTGGATTTAATTGACAGAAAAACACCTGATAGGTTATTTTTTTTGATGAATGTAAAAAGATAAACGCTTGAATTTCAGCTTCGAAGCAATTGCTCCAGGTCTAAAACTAGTCATAGACCATGACGGAGGCGCTGATGATGCGATCGCTGTATATATGGCATTGCTTAATGAAAAATACTTTAATGGGTGAGTGCTTCGTTTACCGTTATTCTTCATCATCATCATCAGCTCTAAAAAGCCACTACTGAAAATGGATATCTCTCGTTTTTGGTAGGATATGATTTAATCTTTACGCTTGGCAGGTTCATTGACGTCCGCAATATTTAAGAGGTTTCGCACCTTTGACGCTGGAGCCAGTCAGAGCTCCGTCTGGCGTAAAGTACAGGGTTAAACTGCCATAAATCGGAAGTTATAAGAGTTTCTTGGCAATGCTTTAGTTGCCTCTTAGGAACTTACCCAGGGGACTAAGGGCCGATCCTCATTTGCCGTTCACAGTTCTTTCTCGGTCCGATCTCAGTCTGATCTCGGTCTGATTTATTATACATGGAATGGGATTCGAGCGAAACTTGACTGTTACGGATAGTATGAATGCAAACACATATTTTTTACTTGATAATATTTTATCATACCGAGGTCGGACGGAGAACGAACTGTGAACGGCATTATAATAAGGATCGGCCCTAAATGTGGCGATGGATTTTCTTTATTGGACGTCACATAGCAACATTTAAAGTTTGAACATATTTTTTTCTCAGTGGTTACAAAATCACTTCTAAAGAAAAAAAATGTTATTAATTAGTTAAAGATTTATTTTTATTACCTGACTGCCCCAGAAGGGAAAAATGTTTAACAAGAGTATTTATGTGTGTAGCCTAAACAATTGGCTATAGTTAGATACGTCTTCATTGTATGAGTGATAATGACTATAAATTATTTCTCTTTTTAGTAAATATTTTACACAGTTGGGTTTTTTTATTACTATTTTTAAAATAGGGCTAGTTAACTTCTCAGTGGGAAGTTATTATAATGGGTCCGATTTTGCAAATCGGAAATTTTAACATATCTCCACGTATGGTTTTTAAGAGGATGTTCGTGTGTGTACATGTACGTATGTATGTATGTATGTTCGGATTCAATTTTCGCCTTGTACATCTCGAGAACAACGAGTGATATTGACATGGGACCAGTTTCATTTAACGCATAATTATGTAAGACCTCATTAAATTTTCAGCAAAATCGGTCAAGTCGTTCTTTGTGACGAATGAAATATTGTACAAAATATTAAAACATATGATATTTTTTTATTATTTCCACTGGGAAGTTAGTCCTGTAGACTTTTCGGGTCGCACCGTAGACGGCTTTTTTATTTGTAATACTATGATAAAATAAATGCGGGAATTTAATAGACGAAGTGGAAGTGGTGTTATGATCGTGTTTTGTGTCATTCCTCGACGCTTATGATAAGCAGTGGACTTGTGAAAAAATGATGACAATATAAATTCTGAAAATGCCATTTTATTTAATGTTTGCCTGTTCAAATATGTGTGTGTAATCTTGCTGATTTGCTCAAAAGAACATCGCTAATCGACTACAATGTTTTTTTTTGCTGAATGTAATCAAACGTGAACGACATGTCATTAGTCTCAAGCCTGATTTGTATATTTAAAAGCAAGTTTTTTTGTCTTACAACTTGTTCTATAACATAAAAAGTTAGTGAAAATCCATTTATAAAACAAAATACCGGTCAAACAACTTATGAACTACTCATGTTTAAAGTGATTTCGGCTTAAGTTAGTTTATAATTCAGTAATTTTTTATAATACTAGCGATAAGCTAGTATCATAAAAAACCACCTAACAAGTGCAAACGTGAATCTAAACCATCTAAGGACTTATCAGTCGACCCGTTATTGAGTTTTAGCGAGACTAACGGACAGGAATTCATTTTTATATATCTATTTATATATATTTTATTATATATATATATATATATATATATATATATATATATATATATATATATATATATATATATATATACGGCTCGTAATGAAGAATAACCCTTCAAGCGTCATAAAAATCCCATGCGCCCCACCCACAGCATTTAAAACCATTAAAACTTGTATTTGTAGACTACTTTTCTATGAAGAAGTTTAGCATTATAAAATCTATACAAAATTCTCTATCTTGTGGTATAAACAAAGGTCAGGTTTTACTTCTAAAATATTTTATTGTATTTTGATAACAAAAAAAAACATACAAAGCGAATGTCAGCACCGTGAAAATCACAATTATTTCAATATATATTATTCGAAATTATTTACGTAAAAAGATAAATTATATTCACACAAAAACTTTCATTACAATTTATAATAAAACATTATACTAAAACACTAATAAAACACTAGAAAAATCCAAAACTCAATACAATAACAATGGAGTGTAGAAGTAAGGAGTACAGACAGTGTATTAAAAAGTGTCCATAGAAAACGCGCCACTATAGCTACGTGGTAAATTTTAAAGAACGCACCGAAAAATATTAGTGGGATAGACGAATTTTTCGAGGTTATATTTATTAAATAAAATTATTTAAAATTTTAGAGCTACTGAGCAGCACACTTAAACCGTCGACAACTGCTAAGTTCGTTTCATCCCAGTAGCTACTCCAGCGCTGTAGTGAAGACTTTTTGAATTGTTATTTACTGCTTACAGATGACCACTTTTTCAACTATTCTACTATGGGAGTAGGTACTCCTTACTTTTACACTACATACCAATAACATTCACGCGAAAATGGCGTACGAAATAAACGTAGATTATAAATATTCATAGGATAACAGTTTTTTTATTGCACTAGAGGATAGAATATTTCATATTGATTATATAATGCAAAATTCTTCATAGAAAAGTAGTCTCTATATATAAGTTTTTATGTGTTGAAGTGCCGAGGGTGCATGCGACCTCATGTGACCGCTAGGGATTTGACGGAATATGGCCGCGGTCTCATGAGACTGCTAGGAGGTTGAAAGGAATGCAACATTCATTTGTCGTCATTGAAATAAAGGCTAAAAATAAGCACAGAATGATCATTACAGCCTATCAAAAGTCCACTGCATAACATATAACTCACCCATAGACTGTCTCACATGTGGGATATTTGCTATAGTTTCTATGCTTAGCATGTGTGTCGCGGCCACCGCAGTTTCTTTCATTCAGCGGTTATCACGAAGGTGCTGCTGTCCATATATTGGTTTAGTTTCTCTCTGTTGCCTCTTTCAATACTGACTAGATATAAATAGTGTAGTGGATATTTTTACACCGACACTACACGGTAAGTATAATATACAAATAAAAAATGTAAACACCGATTCCTACCAAGGATGATACGTGAGGCTATTGAAATTAAAAATCATCCTAATTTCAATAGAGAAGGAGGCTGGGTACTACCACCTGCTTGTATAATCAATAAATTTAAAACTAAACCCAAGCATACCACTGCAAGACCTCAGGACATAATCAGTTCATTTTGCATAGATCGGACCATAAATATAGTGCCGCATCATTCGTCGTTGCGTTCGGTGTGCCGCATCATTCGTCGATGCGTTCGGTGGTTTAATATGTAGATCGTATTAAATCGAGACAATGACGTCGACTTTCATTAAATGTAATAGTTGTGATATAGTTATTTGTGAGGTTCTGGCGTTCATACAAAATCAAGTGGATGTAATGTGTGAAGAAAGCATTATTCGTTTATGTATAACAGCGTTTAGTGCTGAGGATATTGTGGCTGCTAAGGACTTACTGTATCAATCAGTGCGAACTAAAGAAAAGAAAAAAGTAAGGAAAGGTAAAGCGGAAGTAAAAACCCAACGGGACCTGGAAGACATTATCTCGCTCATTAAATGTACTGAAGCAGAGCATATACCTATTTTTGTGGCTAAGGAGCTTAGGAAATTGCCACCGGTTACGTTTGATCATATAGACGTCACAAGGCTATTAAAAGATATAATTATTCTTAAAGATCAAGTACAAGAGCTAAGAGAACAATGTGTGACGGCTAAAGAACTAAAGGAGCTAAAAACGGAAGTATGTAATCTACGACAAGCATCACTAATTAACAATATTGAACCCGAAAACTGTGTCAATACTAATAGAGGCGGTTTTCGAAACTTATTACAATATGAAAATTATGAGGGTGGCAGTGGACCGTTTGGAATTTTGAATTTAGCGCAATGTAAAAAAACTCCAGAGCGGGCACAAACATCTGATAATAATATGACCTCATTTACTCGGAAAGAATCACAGTGCCACATAATAACTCATTCACCATCTCTGTCACCCGCAATACAGCCCGATAAGCGACCGTCTACTACTATTACCTGCACACAGTTTATACACGAGAATAACGACGAACTGACGAATGGGATCACTGAACGAGATTGCGATGCATCTAACACAGGTGTGAAAAAGGCGATGCGATTGTGCACTACGTCTTCTGTCCCCCCACCTGTGACTCAGACAACAGGTACGCAGTCTCGTATAATATCGACGAACGCGGCAGTTACGATGAATCATAATGAGCGTAAATCATTTGCACAAGTAGCGAGAGCGGGCGGCGTTTTTAAATACCCTAAAGATGAAAATTGGATTACGGCACAGAGAAGAAGGCATAGAAACCAATTTATAGGTACGCAAGGACAATCACGAGACCCTTCTGGTAAGTTTAAGGCAGCGGACATAAAAATACCATTGTTTATAAACAACGTGGATAAAGGGGCATCGATACAAGATATAACAGACTATATAAAAGTCAAAACAAACGTGGCTGTTCATTTAATTGAGATTAAAATGAAACGTCGGAAAGACTACAAAGCATATAAAATTTTTGTTCCAAAGCATAAGATAAATATTTTTTTTGGATGAAAACTTGTGGCCAGAAGGAATTTCTTTTCGTAAATTTATTGAGTTCAGGGCTAACAGGTCACAAAGCCCGAGCAAAAATACAGAGGCTGAAGCTTAAAATACATTATAATAATAATATAATTAAGTAAAATAACACTCATTTTAAAATAAATATATATAATTACCTATATTACACTAACAGTATAAAACTATATAAATATCAATATCAATATTCATCATATGCATAGACGTAGAAATAATAATAATATGGTTTTTTCTTCCGATCAGAAAATTAAACTAGTTAGTTACAACTGTAAATCTGTCATGAGGTCAGTGGATGGTGTAAGAGAGTTATGTAAGTCTGCACACGTGATTGCTTTGCAAGAGACTTGGCTTTTGCCCCATGATGTCACATTTATTGGCACCATTGACGAGGATTATGAATTCACAAGCAAATCTGCGGTAGACACTTCGGCCGGTATTCTACGCGGGCGTCCGTACGGCGGCGTCGCGATAATGTGGAGGAAGGGTTTATTTTCGTCTGTGGAAGTCGTCCCATGTAACAGCGTGAGACTTGCGGCGATCAAATTGAGTGTAGCAGATCGATGTTCATTAGTATTTTCTGTGTATATGCCGGTTGATAGTGTGGATAATTTGAGTGAATTTACGGAGGTTTTAAGTGAAATTAATGCCGTAATCGAAAGTAGTGAAATAGAATCTATTTTCATTCTCGGAGATTTTAACGCTCATCCGAAAGAACAGTTTTTCACTGAATTAATGAATTTTTGTGAAGAGCGAAGTTGGCTCTGTGCTGATGTGATTAAGTTGGGATTATCTTCTAATACTCACACTTATGTTAGTGAAGCGCATAAATGTACGCGATGGCTTGATCATTGTCTCACTACTGAGGCAGCTTGGCAATGTGTAAATAAAGTAAAGGTTAATTATGATGTATACTGGTCGGATCATCTACCATTAGAAGTGTATTGTGAGCTAGCTAGGTTGCCTCCTAAAATGAAAGTGATATGTAATACAAAGCCTTGTAATGTGATAAGATGGGGGGAAAGGAACAGCGAACAAATAAATTTTTATCACGATATTTGTAACAGAAAATTAAAAACTATCGATCTCCCTGAGGTATTTAGATGTTGCGCTGATCAAATATGTAGTAATGTGGATCATAAAGCACATATTGATATTTTTTATAGCTCCATTATTAACGTATTAAAGGAAGCTGCAGTAGATAGTTATAAAGTACGTTGTAATAAAAGAAAAAATATAGCGGGGTGGAACAGGCATGTAAGGGAGATACATAATGAAGCTCGACTCTGTTACCAGATGTGGATCCTACACGGTAAACCTACATCTGGCGTTTTGTATGAGAGCATGTGTGAGACCAGAAAGCGTTTTAAGTCTCGACTTAAGTGGTGTCAAGACAATGAGACACAAATTAAACAGGACATTTTGGCCAAACACCATAGGTCAAAAGACTTTAGGGCGTTCTGGAAACACACTAAAAAGTTTAATACAGAATTATGTGTCCCAGCTAGCGTCCAGGGCCAACATGAGCCAGGTAAGATAGCTGAATTATTCAAAGATATTTTTAAGGTTCAATCTTCGATTGCGTCGACGCAGCAGGTGCTTAGTGCTGAACAAGAATTAAGTGGTGAATATCACCGTATTAAAACTGAGGATATAGCTCGTGTAATAAATGGGATGACTAGAGGTAAGTCTCCTGGTCACGACGACCTCAGCATTGAGCACTTGCAACATGCGGGTGTGCATTTGCCAAGGGTGTTAACTCTATTGTTTAACCTATGTCTAGGACATGCGTACTTACCTGGAGAGCTTATAAAAACCATGGTTGTACCAATATTAAAAAATAAAACTAGTGATGCCTCCGTTGGGTCCAATTATCGCCCAATATCTTTGGCTACCGTAGTTGCGAAGGTTCTGGACAGTTTGCTTGATCAGCAACTCAGCCAACACATTCACCTACATGAGGCTCAGTTTGGTTTCAGGCCGGGGCTTTCAACTGAAACTGCCATACTGCGACTCAAGCATACTGTCCAGTATTACACTACGCGAAAAACGCCGGTTTACGCGTGTTTCTTGGACCTGTCGAAGGCATTTGATCTGGTTTCGTACAACGTGCTATGGGACAAACTTAACCAGGAAACTAGCACACCCAAAGAGGTAATTAACCTCTTCAAGTATTGGTATCACAACCAAGCTAACTGTGTGAAGTGGGCTGGCTCATATTCGTCGGAGTACAGGTTGGAGTGCGGGGTGAGGCAGGGCGGCCTTAGCTCCCCCCAACTTTTCAACCTGTATATCAACGGTCTGATCGTGGAGCTCAGTGATGCCGGAGTCGGCTGCTCAATTGACGGTCATTTTGTTAATAATATAAGCTATGCCGATGACATGGTGTTGCTGAGTCCTTCGATCAGGGCCCTCGAAACGCTAGTGGGCATCTGTGAAAGGTACGCGGCGGCTCATGGTCTCAGATATAATTGTAATAAGAGTGAACTACTCGTGTTTAAGGCTGGAAATAGAAAACCTAAGTCTGTTCCTCATGTTAAACTTGGAGGAGTTACACTGAGTAGAGTCACCAAATTCAGATATCTGGGACACTGGGTCGCCGAGGACCTTTCTGACAATTTAGATGTTGAACGGGAACGTAGAGCGTTGGCAGTGAGGTGTAATATGCTTGCCCGCAGGTTTGCTAGGTGTACGAATGAAGTTAAGATAACGTTATTCAAAGCTTACTGTCAGACATTCTACACCTGCAGCCTGTGGACGAAGTGTACTCGCCGAATTCTCAATGCGCTGCGTGTTCAATACAACAATGGACTCAGGATGTTGTTGGGGCTGCCACGCTTTTGCAGCGCATCGCGTATGTTTTCTGAGGCACGCGTGGACAGTTTTGCAGCAATATTACGCAAAAGAATAGCCTCCTTAATGCGTCGCGTGCGAGACAGCACCAACGGCCTCCTAGCTTCCATATATGGAAGGCAAGATTGCCCTGTGATGAGGTACTGGAACACAGTGCATATGGGTTCCAGACCCAATATGTTTAATAATAAATAAATAATTTTTGTGTAATAATTTATGTATTTTGTGAATCTACTAACCCCTAGTTTTAAGTTTTAAAGTGTACTAACAAAATGGGTGTACTTACCTGAATAATGAAAATGAAATAAATAAATAAAATAAAATAAATAATATTTAAAAAAGCTGAAGGTACTCCGGGTTTAACAATGACATCGGAACGTCAGTCACCTAAGTCCCCCGTGACCATGGGTGCTGGAAAGCACCCGAAACGTCGTGAATTAAAATAAAAATAATTAAAAGTATAATTAAACGCGATAAAATCCGTAAAAGAAATTTCAATCAATCTACATTTATCCTCGATTAAGAATAAAATCATCCATGAATGCTTCATTTTCAGTAGAAAAGGGTCTTTGGATCTCTACACTTAACATACGAAACACAGCAGTATTAAGCTGCTATTTTACGCTGGTATTCTGTAAGAGCGTGTTCCTTCCCCGGCCGGGCCGACCCATTCGTGCTGCAACCATAATATATAATTAATCTTCGTCATTTTAATAAAAGATCTTTAAAAACGTGTGCATTATGCTACAGAATCAGTTTTTATAGGGTTCGTTTCTAAAACTCCCTTCCGTTAACCGAGCATCCGCATGGTAATAGTTGAAGTTCAATTAGGAAGTTATAAATATATAGTGCAAATGCTTCCTAAAGCAAAATTAAGGAAGAACAAGTCTTCTAGGAAAACTAGAAGGTAAACTAGACTTACTACTACTAGATAGTAGTTACACGGTCTGACGGATTGTTATTTTAGATTGTTTTGATTGTTATTGGAAATTATAGATTGTTCTTTAATCTGAAGGTCCCGCAAACAATTGTACATAATTAAATTGAAAATCTGTACTGATTACCTACTTTTGATTTTAAAATTTATTTAAATATAAATAATATATATAAGTAAATATGTAAATAAATACGTCATTACTGATTAAGATAATAAAACTTTCATCTGAAGTGTCAATTCCTCCAGTCCAATAAAAATAAATTAAATCGAAATACAGGTTTTAAGTCATCATTTCAATAAAAACGAGCCGGTTACAATATTAAACAATACAAAAAAAAATAATATTGCCATACATAATAAAATATTATTTAATTGGATGTATAAATAAATTAAGGTAGTCAATTATCATATTTCAAGGTTGGAAGGCCATGTTTTTTTTTAATTTTTTTCCACGTTTAACATAAAAATTATTTCATATCAGTTAAGCAAATATATTAATTTCAAGGCAGTAGTTTAATAGGGGATAGCTACCAATATAATGTAACGACGACGTTATATAAATATATTGTCAAGAAAATGTATTTTAAATAACATGCATTCGAATTGCCCCCACTAATTTTTACGCGGTATAAAAACACGGTAGCTTTTGATGTTGCACGGATGGGGAAGTACTACAAACTCTAGGTAGCGAATTAGAGACTAGCCCAGCAGCTTAACTTTGGTGTAGATATTCACTAAAGACCCCATTCTTCCTAAAGAGGGGTAGTGGGAGGGGGCGGCGAAATCTCGCTCCGCACAAATGTCACTCGTGATTAACAGAGCAACAAGATCAAGGTGTCCCTATAATGTTTGCTTTACCCCCTGCTACATTAAAGGAATTCACTTGAACTTTAACATCGTCCACATCATCTGTAGTATCCATCGGAAACAGATCTCAGCCTAGGTGTGGTTGCACGGGAATTTTACTACGGATATGTACGGCTATTTTACTATCTTTTTAAATGAATATTGTTCATTACAGATTTCCAGTCATTGCACTAACAACTACGCATGGAAATGTTGATGAGCCACAAACGTTCAGAAATACGCAAAAGTTTTTGGGAATTGCCGACAGAAACGATGTACTGTATCATTTTTTTCCTAGTTTTATTTATTTGAAGACGTATTTATTTAATTTTAAATCTGATGTTATTAGACCGTAACAGTAAAGTGTTGTTACGGTCGTTTTAAACCTTAACCGGTGCGATTGACAATCTGACCAAAAATCGCAGACACGAGATGCCTTGCACACTTGACAGTATTCGCCATCACCAGTCTAGGTAATTTACCTTGGGGTATTTTGGCCCGATATTCATTGTCTCATGCTACTGTAATTACGAATATGTTGGGTGTCAATGAGGAGACGTGCTGTTTGTTCTGTGTCTTTTATTGGACTATATCTAATTATACCCAAATTCAAAATTCACGATACCATCCTCACCATCTGGATGCCTGGCTGTCCACCATTGTGCGTTTAACTAGGAGTTTTCTTCCTCGTACAATTTCTATGTGGAATTGTTTACCACCGGCGACTTTTCCAGTCCGATACGACTTAAGAACCTTCAAGAAAAGAGTTTACTCCTTTCTAAAAGGCTGGCAACGCACCTGCATTTCTCCTGGTGTTCCGGTTGTTCATGGGGGACGGTAGTCACTTACCATCAGGTGAGCTGCATGCTCGTTTGCCCCCTCTTCTATAAAACAAAAAATATATACAGTAGTATACAATAAAATATGTGTGTGGTCTACTGCACCTCTTACCTCACAAACTCTATATATTTATTATGTAATACAGAGATATTATTAATGAATGTCTCGTTGGTGTTATAGTCGTAAACGTGACGGCTGATACCGTGTTCGAATCCTGGCTCAAGCCAAAATCAGTTAATAGTAAGTAGCCCAGAGTAAGGAAGTTGGTAGTTTTTTAGCCCCGTACCTAGGAAAACATTTAAAGCCTTTGGTTATGTTGGTCTCACTCCGGTCGTGTCGGATTACCGTACCAAGAGCTAAGAGGGCCTTACCGGGCTAAGAGTGTGAGAGTAGAGACTACACCTGTGGTTGAACACACGCTTGTATAAAAGTAGAAGCCTTTTTTTATTCTTATTTTCAAAAAATTCAATAACAATAAATCATTATTTATATATTTGAACTTAAGTTTAAAATTTGGCTACTCTTTAATAAATAACCCTGTATAATAAAATTTAATGATCAGAGATTATATACAATAGAACGTACGTGCCTTTTATTGTGTCTGAACGCTAACACAGGAGGGTTAGTTCGTTCTAGACTTTTTATGCAGCAAAAATAATATTTTTCAAATAAATTTCAGGTACCAATCTATAGAGGGAGCAACTTTTCTCTAATATATGATATTCCATCCGACCACTTTTTCGGTTTTGATGGATTGGGTGACAGTGAAACTGAGTTCGTTGACAATAAAGCTCTTAAACCCCAACCGGAACACGCAGCAATAGCTTTGATTGAACTGTCCAAAAAATTTGAAGGCAAGTTTAAGAACAAAATAAACCGTTATTTAAAAAAATATTATTTACCATAATTAAGAATAAATATGAATTACTTTGTATGAGTAGATTTATTAGTCGTGATATCTTAATAGTCATAAACAATATTTTTATACTTGTAGTCGTAGAACTCGTTTACGAAGCCGTAGGTATCACGATATCTCGATTTGGATTTCCATTTTTATAACTTCACGTAAATCATGCAGAAGGCTCAGGAACGTGTTTGCAAAAGTTCATGGAATGAGGAAAATACATAGTAGACATTAGTTAATATGAGCGGTAGACTTATAAGGAAAATGCTTTGCCTGATAAGGAAAAGGAGCAGCATCAGCTGCATTAAGATCAAGACCGTGCTTTGTAGACAGTGTTTAATAAGGAACTTGTGATTGGCTGTTATGATGCTGATGATAATGATGAACTATTAAACAGTCCCTTAGAACAAATATAATTTCTTTATGTAACAACAACTATTTATCTATTTCTTCAACATCAGTATGCATAATTCCACAGCTGGACTTGGGTCTTTACTTTGGGCAAAAGCACAATTGACAGGGATTTGGATACCGCAGATGAAGACGCACCTAATACCAATTGTACTGCTGTGTTACAATAAGAAGGGTATAGAGAGCCAATATAGTCATTCCGTCTTATTCCTCAAATTGACAACGCACCTGTAGCTTTCTGTGTTTGAAAATGGATGCAGGTGTCTACAAACTGCACTCGAACTCGACTCGAAGTTCATTTGTAACTTCGGTTTTATAATAATAAGAGGGCAGACACTTTTGACGATGCTCTCTGTCTACGGTCTAGCCATTTTATGTCGGACATCTTATGTCGTTCTGGCATTTTTTTAAATTTCTGCTCACATTCTTATTGCTGAACTAAAATTGCAAAAAATATATAAAAAATTTGGTATGTTTTCAGGTGAATTAATTGTTTTAGCTTTAGGTGCATTAACCAATATCGCATTAGCAATTAAATTAGACCCTGGATTTATTGGTCGACTTTCACAACTGTACGTAGCAGCCGGTCATATTTACAGTAAGTAAAAGTGCTAGTTACAATACATCAGTTTCACTTAGTTTAATTCAGTTGCGTTCCACTTGAACGGCAAGTTGCATGTTCATCATGCACTTTGACTATATATAACGTTAGTGCAGAATAATATCCACATGAGTGATATTGCATCTGCATTTGTAGCACGTGGTAGAGCCACGCTGCATTATGGTTGTAAAACGAATGGGTCGGCTCGACCGGAGAAGTACCACGCTCTACCAGAATACCAACGCAAAATAGCAGCTCAGTACTTCTGTGTTTCGTATGGTGAGTGCAAGGATCCGGAGACCCTTTTTTTTGTAGAAACGAGGCATTCCATCTCAGTCCTCAGGGGTGACAACGCATCTGCGTTTTGATTCTTTATCGAGGATAAATGTAGATGTCTATGGGCCACAGTATCCACTTAGCATCAGGTGAACTGTGTGCTCACTTGTCACCCTTATTCTATAATATAAATAAATAAAATAAATGAGTCACAAAACCATTAACACAGCTAACACCATCTTACCTATTTATACGCCAAATAGCGATACTTGCAACGCTGTGTTTTTTTTATAGGATAGGGTGACAAACGAGCACACAGTCCACCTGATGGTAAGTGGTTACTGTAGCCCATAGACATCTACATCTATTCTCGATTATGAATCAAAATGCAGATGCTTTGTCATCCGTGAGGACTAAGATGGAATGCCTCGTCTCCAGTGAAGACAGTCTCCAGTTCTCTACACTCATCATACGAAACACAGCAGCATTAAGCTACAATTTTGCGCTGGTATTCTGTGAGAGCGTGGTCCTTCTCCTGTCAAGCCGACTTATTCATGCTACAACTATACTACAAATACGAGTATAACTTCAGCAAGGCTCTACCACGTATAAAATGTTTCGATTTGAAGTGCTGTGCGGCTTACTATTTAAGCACTTAGAGATTAGAGGTGATGATTATTCTGTAATTTTATTTGTTTGAAGTTGGCTGAATGCGTAGTATAATTAAAAGCTCTGAGGTATTCGGTCTTGGTTCTCAGAAGCACAAAGTTGAAAAGTTAGCTGCAGGTGTCCATAGATTGCAGTTACCATTTACCATCAGGTGCACTGTATGGTCGTTTTTCATTACAGTTATAAAAAAAGGCATCCACTTACTGCTGGTTTACTGTGGGCTTGTTTTTCATAATATATTGCGTTATATATTTTTTATAATATTACGGAATTGTCATAAAAATAGTATTTATACAAGTTTCTTTTGTATTTTACGATCCATTTTTCATTATTTTTTAAGGTTATGACTGAAGATGATAATAATAAGAGCATAAAAATGTAAGCCCAGAGCTATGTAATATACTTCAATATTTTATAATCCAGTTATCTCAAAAATTATAAGTTATTTTATCTTTTTACCTCAATTATTATTGCTATTCAAAATCTAAAGGCGTTTTAAAAGCTTTTTTATTTTTAGAAGAAAAAGGTGACAAAAGAGCACACACAGTCCTAATTACCTGATGTAAGTGGATGAAAAACATAACATAAACACTCATTCAGAGGGGTAGAGACTAGATTATTGGCAATTAATTTTCGCCTCCTTTATCATATATCTACGTTCTCGTCGTTAAGGATACTTAACGTGCCATTTTTTCGTTAAAGTCCCACATCTGTATATAAATTGCGTCACTCCTCTTTTCTTTACGATAAACAATTGGTTTTATTCTCGATTAAGAATCAAAATGCAGATGTGCTGTCTCTCTTGAGAATATTTAATGCCTAGTTTTCACTAAAATAGCATTAGGAAAGCTGATATTTTATGCCAGTCCAGTCGACCCATTTGTGCTGCCATTGCAATGAAGCTGCAGCATGGGTCTAGTCAAAAACAAATTAGATTAGCTACTACATTCATGCTATGAGTAGCTAATCTAATTTGTAATATGTAAATATCTTTTCTACTTTTACACCAGAGTGATAAAGATAAAAATTTGTCGTTATCTGTGTGATGATATGATCTTAGAAGTAATGAAGTCGCTCTGTAGCTAGATCAAATCTGTAACACGAGTGTGTTGGCTCAGAAATACTAGCTTGGAAGTGACTATTTTTCGTATGATGGAAGTTAGGATGGTATCGATGTATTCTATCTTAGTTCTTGTGGATGACAAGGCATTTTGATTATTAATTTTGGATATATTTTACAAAGTGTCAATAGACAAAAAGTTTACTCACCAGTACGCGATCGTTTGCCACCTTTACTTCTATAAATTGTGCCGTTGTAGTTCACGGGCTAAGCACTCGCTGTGAATTTTACAGAACGCGAGTAACCCGTGTTCGATCCCCGTCGGTAGGCAACAACGAAATTGTTAATTTCAATTTTAATGCTGACTTACAACTTGCTTAACGGTGAATGAATACATCGTGAGGAAACCTGCATGACTGAGAAATAAGAAAAATATTTCGAAGACATGTGAAGTTCTCAAACATGCATTGGGGCTGCGCGGTAGACATATCCTCACCCTAAACCCCTCTCAGAAATGAAAGGAGACCTGCGCCAGCAGTGGAACATTTATAGGCTGTAAATTTAACTTCTTTAAAAATGTTTTAAATTTGACTTCTATAAAAATGTAAGTGTATAAAATAATTTCAAGGAAAGGTGTACCAGCTGGCACTTTCTAAAAAAACCTTTAAATTTTTTTCTTTTAAATTTAACTTCTATAAAAATGTTTCTCATAGTTTAAGGTTCACATATATGACAATCAAGGTCAGAGTTATTGCATAATTTTAATTTTATTAAAATATAAATAACGTAAATTTATTGTACCGAATAGATCTGAGATTGGTTTATACTTCACTATAGATTTATTTGCAATTTTCTCTACTATATATTAGCGCATACTCAACGGCGATGATATTGTCATTATAATCGATGATTTGATGACAAAGGTAGAGTTAGGTTATCGTTAGGTTATCATTCGTTTTTGTTTTCTTTTCCAGGCGAAGAGTACAAAGAACCAGAATTTAATGCTCTCGTGGATGTAGAATCGTATAAGGTTGTATTACAGAATAGCCACTACGACAAAGTTACGGTGATCCCGTTCTCCCAAGTACTTAAGTCACATAACATTAGTGCGGTGAGTTGATTTTTTATTTTTTTTATTTGAGGGACCAAACCTCCGCTCAGAAGTTTGATTTTGACAATAGAAGATTTGAATATTTTTTTTTCATTTTCCGCTTGGTTTTTCATAAACAATACCTATTTACCCGACCATAAACGAAAAAAGATAATTAATATGAGATCTTTAATTAATGCCAATACATTTGTTTCAGCTTCAAGTATAACTGATGGGTAAGGATACTTCTTCTTATTCAGACTGCTTCCATCCACTGCTGAACAAAGGTTTTTTTTCTAGAAAGTGCCAGCTTGTATAGCTTTCCTTAAAAATATTTCTTACACCCAGGACGCAGGGCAGTCGGGTAAATTGTACATTCACAACGTACAATTTGGAGGATTTGAGTTTGGCTTTTTGGGATAAGTTTTCGGCATTACTTGCTTATTAGAAACTTAAATGACCATCAGCATGGAGTACCGCATGCAGACATTTGTTGAAGTTTGACACATAGTATCTTGAAAGTAAAAATACATGGAAAATGTTAAGTGTGACTCATTTGGAGTCGTCCCATTGTGGGAATGCTTCGATCGAAACAGTTTTCAACATAATAAAAGATTATTATATATTACTTTATATTATTTGATGACGAGTAAGAGTTGCAAAGGTTGCCAATTCATTTGCCAGATATGGTAATAATAGCAAAAGCTCTATACTATGAAAGAGGTCCGTTTCAAGAATTGGTACTTTAACGGCCGTATGAAGAAATAGAAGGAGAATATATTCTTTTAATTACTAATTTCTTTACAGGAATGGCGAACATCAGTTCTGGGATCCATACCAACAAAAATAATAAAATCCCTCAATGTCTTCGAACAAAAGTCAATTGTTACAAGTAAAACCTGGACTTTATTGGACCCTGTCGCTATGGCTATAGTGCTAAACGAAACTGAAATGATTGAAGAATTAACATATGTATATAACAGTATTCAAATATGTGGTGAGTGAGTAATTATTTTGTACATGTTTTATAACATATAAACTTAGTGATCGATCCCGCTCTTTAACCTCTTAGCTCGTCTTTAATCTGTATTTTATAACAGATTAATTTTATCCAATATACTTACGATATGCTTTTATAACTGGTTCGGAAAAAACTTCTGCCTTGAGAATAACTTGCAGGAAACCCAGTGGAACTTTTTAAAATATAAATTTACATTTGTATTTATATAATTGTACAATTAAATAAGAAAAGGATTCGAAAGGGAATGGTAACGATCACCTGATTGTCAGGGGATATTATCAATCATGTACTCTTTAGTAAAAACAATAATTAAATTAAAAAAATCAGCTTTTTGATATACAGGTCGCGTATTGATTGCCTAATGATGGAATTACTGAGTCTTGGATTCGATTGCATTAAGTTTCTGCTTCTTCATAGCATTAACAGATTGAACATCATTAGTTAAAATAAAACTTTTTTTGTTTTTGTTGTACATAAATTTAATTTATGTATTACCTACATTAAATTTAAGTAAAATATACTGGGAGTTCAAAGTTAATATATTTATTTCTTTAAATTTTATTTTAAAATCTCCCTTCCCTTAGGTTATAAATCACTCTTATTTATTTATTTATTAATATTTTATTGCATTCCTTAAACCAAAAGAATACAAAAAGCAATCTTAATGATATATATATATATAATCTTAAGGCATTCTCTACCAGTCAACCCATATTATATAGTGGTGAGAATTCGACGTAGCAATATGGAATCGAAACCAAAAGTGTAAAATAGCAGCTTAAGGCTGTTGTGTTTCATATGGTGAGTGTAGAGAACCGGAGACCCTTTACTACTGGGAACGAGGTACTCCATCTTTGTCTTCCGGGGTGACAACACATCTGCATTTTGATTCTTAATCAAGGAAAAATGTAGATGTCTATGGGTCACAGCTTCCACTTACAATCAGGTAGACTGTCTGCTCGTTTGTAACACTTATTCTTTAAAAATTAATTATTGAATAAGCAATAAAAATATAATCTATACATACATATATATATATATATATATATATATATATATATATATATATATATATATACATATTTCACATTATTTGTACATACACATAACTACTAATTAATACCTCTGTTTAGCAAAATATATGACATGGATGATTTATGTACAAAGCGTACGATTACGTGCCAACTTTTTAAAAGCATTCAGAGCTTTTCTGATGTCATTGGGAAAGAAGTTCCAAGAACGTGTAGCCTAAACTGTAATGAAGATTCTATGTTATACCTCTGTTAAATTAACTGGAATTCAGATTTTGTTGTTAGAAGAAGAACGTAGAATCCTACCATGAGATTAATAGAGATATATGGAGTGTAATTTACTCCTAAGATAAGAAGGCGTAGATAGGTCATTGAATATGGAAATAAATCACAAGTAATTTTCTGGAATGGCGCCTCTCCTGGATTGCAAGGAAATTTTGCTTTGATCAATGTTGCAAAATATGGTCATACTTGCGAAGCCTAAAAATAAATCTTCACAGTTATTGAGAGGTTATTCCAGCTTGTTCAAAGATCTTAGAACTGATCCGGATAAAACACATATGCATGATCAATTATGGGTAATATGAGTGATCGAACAACCATGATCTTAGATTTTGTGGGAAGACAATGTTTTAACGTGGAAATAATTTTAGGAATCACTTCTCAAACCTGAGTTTTGTAACTCAGCGTGCTGTGTAGGCCTAAATGTTTTTTACAGAATTTTTGAAGAGAATTGTAATATCATTGTAATAAATTGGAGACACGTCTGCAAGATTAGTTTTAGCTAGCATCCTTGAGCAGCCCACCGGTATAGCGTGGCATTTCAAGGGATTGATCAAAATGCCATAACGAGTAGACCATTCATTAATAGCTTATAGTTATCGTTAGGTTTCTAATAGCATTATAGATATCTCCAATTTCAGCTTGCATGTATAGCGTACAAATGGTACGAGCAATCAAAGATGGAGGAAATAAAGTTTTAAAAACAGGAAAAAATATAAGAGAAAGTATTGCGCCTTACGGCAAACCAGCTTCCTCATCAGCTCAAGTTGAGTTAATTTACCCTACACAGGCTGCCTGCTGTCGACCGCAAAGATAATATATAAACTATTCTAATTCATTATTGCATAAAATTTAGATGAGCCAGTATGGAAAGTAGGGTTTCATGATCAACCCTGTTGAAAACATTTGAGAAATCAACTAGTATCAGTGCTGCTACTTTTTTCTTCCATAACTTGTCATATGTAACGTTAATTAAAGCAGTAGTGGTACTATACGGACAAAACCCAGACTGATATATACTCTGTAGGTAATATTTCGAAATAAAAGTAGAAAATTGCTTGTAAATACAGGATTTTAAAATTATCAAAAAGAACGGTGGAATGTATATTGGGCGCTAATGATTGAGAAGAATTGGAGTAGAAGCTTTTGGGAGGATCTTTATAAAAGCCATTTTCCAACGATTAGGGTACTGACCAGAATCAAAGTAAAAATTTATTATATGAGACATTGCCGGAAGAAGGTGCTCTACTATAAATACTACCATATGTATGTCTACTTATCTTATCATAACCCACCGCCTCTGACTGAATTGCTCAAATAGACTTTTTAGCATCGTAGGAATTTTAGGAGTTTGCATATAAGGAATAATAATAATAGTTCTGGAGCAAATTGAAGTCTTTTATAAAAGCGAAATGTTGGTTTATTTCACCAAGTGATATAGAAGGATCACAATCCAATGCAGCTGGCTTGTGAATACCAAAAGCTCAAAAAAAATTCCATACTTCAGCGTGAAAGAGTCATTATACAATAATGAAAACATCAGTGTTTTGTAGCACTTTATCGATTTACCTATTTCAAACTGTTTAAAAGAAAACCAATTTTTCTCAGTTTGTTCTCTCTTGAAACTAAGAAAAGCAAGATTTCGTCTAGACATTTCAAACCTTACGTTTTCTGTTACCCATGAGGCTAAGGGACGCTTTAATCTAACCTTGTGAACTGGAGCATGAGCATCATAAAGACTGAGAACATTATGGTTAAGAATAGAGACTTTATCGTCAGCACTAGGTGCTGCAATAAATGAGGCTAGAACGAGATTAAGAGCGTGATTATTATATTGTCAAAGTCTATTTTAGAAAAACTGCCCAAATGCAGTACAGAAGAGGAATATTTGGCAGATTTAAGCTTTTACTAAGCATAAATTAGGTTGTGACGTGAGATACACAAAGCAGGTAACTGTCCGTGCATCATCACATGGTCAGGAGAAACAGCAAAGATTAGATCAATCAATTTTTTTCTTTTCTTAATAAATACGTTACCCTTACACTAGGATTTTCTCCTGTATCGTGAAGGCAGTTAACAAACATAATTTGCACAAAGAGAAATATCCAGACCCGGAACAATTATTTGTAGCCTATAAAAATACTTGTTTCGTGCAGGATTTAACCTGCGGCCTTCAGCTCAGTGCTAATCCACTGCGCCGCAGAGCCGTCAATCAATGAATCATTGGTTCCGATATTGTGATACGTAGCCTTTAAAGGGAGAATAGAAAGATTCACCGACTTTGTAATTGAACGAAGCTTTTTCGAACGAGCAGTGTTTTTCAATAAATCTATATTAAAGTCACCCATAATTATGAAGTTACTCATATATCTATCATATGTACTCAGAAAAAATATCAACAGGAATCAAATCTAAAGTGCCCATGTAGTCTGTCGAAGGGGGGCAATACACTACCCCCCTAGAGTCATCTTTGTGCCCTTAACATCGAGTTCCACAAATAAAACTCAGAAGAAGCAGAATAGCAGGAAGGCGATGCTTATACAATTTTTTGTGGAAAAGATGTGTATGTGTGTGTGTAGGTATACCACATCCACTATTTCCAACACGATCATTTCTTACAAGTACAAAACCGGGTATTGGATATAAAATCGACGGCAAAGAAGGCTTCAGCCAACTTTCCGGCAATGGCTTTGGCATGAATATAGTCTGGCGAAAATGAAGCTTCGAGTTCGGTATAGTGGCTCGGGATATTTGAGCGTATATTATTACCTACTATATATTTACTAAAACATGCTCCTCGGTTCACGCTATTACAAAAATGTCCCAGAAAATATGCAAGGCATGCCATTACTAATTTTAAATATTTATTAAACCAAAACTCTATAAAAAGGGTTATATAATATAAACAAATACATGGTTGATAATAACATAACATAACATAAACACTCACGCCTGTCACCCAGAGGGGTAGGCAGAGACTACAGACTTCCATTTCGCACGATCCTGACACACCTCTCTCGCCTCCTTCACATCCATACACCTACGCATACATGCTCGTCGGTTAAGCGCTTATTACACTGTACAATTTTTAGGAAATCTAATTAGGAACCTAAATTGGAAGCTAGTGATCACACTACACTAAATTGAATTCTAAATCGTGACGAACCGCATTCGTAAAGAAGTATCGACGGGGTTGCACGTTTGATCGATGGCGCCGTATTTACCAAAACAGCAGAAAATAGGACTTGCCTTAGCCATGGTGGGAACAATGGATATTAAAAAAAAGAGAACTTGTCATTGAGAAAAAACTGTCCAATATAAATATAATTATATATTTTTAGATTCTAAGCAGTTTTTTTTTTTATAAGATAGGGTGACAAACTAGCACACAGTCCACCTGATGGCAAGTGGATGCTGCGGCCCGTAGACATCTACATCTATCTCCGATTACAAATCAAAATGCAGATGCGTTGTCACCCATGAGGACTAAGATGGAATGCCTCGTTTCCAGTAAAAAGGGTCTCCGGTTCTCTACACTCACCATACGAAACACAGCAACATTAAGCTACTATTTTACGCTGGTATTCTGTGGGAGCGTGGTGCTTCCTCGGTCGAGCCGACCCATTCGTGCTACAACTATACTACTAATATAACTGCAGCATG